TGCTTTGCGCTGCAAATAAACGTGTTATGTAATGGTATAAATATTTGGTGACAGGACCAACACCAACAGAAGGCATTTTATAATGTTTTTTCCTTTCACATATCTCATATCTGCTTTGCGCTGCAAATAAACGTGTTATGTAATGGTATAAATATTTGGTGACAGGACCAACACCAACAGAAGGCATTTTATAATGTTTTTTCCTTTCACATATCTCATATCTGCTTTGCGCTGTAAATAAACGTTTTATGTAATGGTGTAAATATTTGGTGACAGGACCAACACCAACAGAAGGCATTTTATAATGTTTTTTCCTTTCACATATCTCATATCTGCTTTGCGCTGTAAATAAACGTGTTATGTAATGGTATAAATATTTGGTGACAGGACCAACATCAACAGAAGGCATTTTATAATGTTTTCCTTTGACATATCTGTTGATAAAAGTAGTCAAGGTTTCTTTGTAGTTAAGCACAAAGCTACACAATGGGCTATCTGTGCTCTGCCCATCACGGATATCGAAACCCGGTTTCTAGCGCTGTAAGTCCGCAGACATTCCGCCGTGCCACAACTAATCAAGAACGCATGTCCTTTAATGTAACGAAATTAAATTAAAATTGTGACACGTAAAGTTCAAGATCCAGTTTTTCCTAACATGTACTTACACCACCCTCACAGCCTCATAACATTATAACTACGCATGGTCAAACCGAGCGATGTATTTTCTCTTATTCTCTTGGTTGAAACTGACTGCTGTTTCATTTTATTGGTTGTTATCCTATACGGTTACCTAAATCTCATTATTAGTTAGTTAGAACTGTTTCTGTTGTGGTAATAGCTAAGATTCGATCCCGAGTCTGCTAGTGTACTATCCACAGAAATAGTCCTTCTCAGGGCTTCCTTGAAGACAGCAGCGGATTATTAGTAAACAAATTAGGGTTATGAACTTAATTAGTACATAGTATCTATTAATTAATGATATATAAAAAGTAAATAATTAATAATATAACAAAGTGATATCATGGGCATCTATCTTACTCCGATCTTATTATTGTAAATCTGAATGTGAATCATTTGGGAAATATTTCATTATTTGTGTTGCTATAAACACTGGACCTTATTTTTTAAAGAATAACAACATAAATAAAAAACTCACTGAAAATCGGGAAGGAGTTGATACATCCATGTTTCGGGACCCGAGAATGGGGGTCGTTGGAGCGCTGCCACGACGTTCCGAGCAAGTTTTTTCATATGACGATTCTGTAAAAGTCATATCGTGATATAAGAATAAGAGTATACATATCTTCATTATAAAATAAACAACTCTACTGAGTGATCACTCAACTAGAACTCTGTATCTTTGACCACAGATTCCTGACCTTTACCTGTCTTGTCTTTAAAATCATTCGTGTGATTTGAAGCATTTCGCTTTGAAAATGCTTATAAACGTTAGGCTTAGTTTCTTCAAATTAACTACCCGGCTCTTCAGTTTCTGTGTGGAAATTTCTATGTACAGAATGGAAGTTTTTTTCTTCCCTTGGATCAATATATTGATCACTAGTAAGATGGCTTATAAGGGAAGAAAAGGGAAGAGATAATTCTCCTGATTCTATCGCAAACAAATTGTGTTATTAGAATGACAACAAAAAGTAACCCCCGCCCCCTGTAGCTCATGGAAGAGCTGTTCTCCCCTTCCCTCTTCACTACTGGGCATCATTGATTGAAAGAGAATATAGTTTGTTTGTTTGTTTGAAATTTCGCGCAAAGCTACACGAGGGCTATCTGCGCTAGCCGTCCCTAATTTGGCAGTGTAAGACTAGAGGGAAGGCAGCTAGTCATCACCACCGGTAGCCAACTCTTGGGCTACTCTTTTACCAACAAATAGTGGAATTGACCGTCACGTTATAACGCCCCCACGGCTGAAAGGGCGAGCATGTTTGGTGGGACGGGGATTCGAACCCGCAGATTGCGAGTCGAGCGCCCTAACCACCTGGCCATGCCAGACCTAAAGAAAGAGAACATAGAAAAGCTTTATTCAAGGGGTATGTCATGAGTTTATCCATAAAATCAATTTGTCTATTTAAATAACAAGGTCAAACACTGTGACCTTCTACAGAAGCAAGGGCATATCAAGGTTGAAATTAATTTTTTTTAAAACTAAACACCTCCTTCAAATATAGCGCAGTTAGCCCTCGAGTAGCTTAGCGCTACATTCAACAAAAACAAACCTACAAATATATACGAACAGTACGAACACTTACTGGCACCGAGAGTCTGGCAGGATATTTTATTAAATGTAACATTTGTCAGCCACGTGCACTGTTCTGTGACTTGTATTAGAAGGTGAGAAGTAAAGCTTTAGGCCTCATAACATGAAACAGTTCCACTTCTTCAACAACCGGAGAGTCACAAAGCCATATTCCAAGTTTAAAATTATCATATAACACAGAACTATTTTATCCAACATGTAGAAGTTTTAGGATACATCCGCGCACAGGAGACTACCTTCAATAAACATAGAATTATTTTATCCAACATGTAGAAGTTTTAGGATACGTCCGCGCACAGGAGACTACCTTCACTGAACATAGAACTATTTTATCCAACATGTAGAAGTTTTAGGATACGTCCGCGCACAGAAGACTACCTTCACTAAACATAGAACTATTTAATCCAACATGTAGAAGTTTTAGGATACGTCCGCGCACAGGAGACTACCTTCACCAAGCATTGAACTATTTTATCCATCATGTAGAAATTTTGGGATACGTCCGCGCACAGGAGACTGTCTTCACTACAATACATATCTTTTGACATCCTATGAAAGCTTATGTTGATAATGTCAAAGAAGTATGTCCTTTAATGTAATGAAATTAAATTAAAATTGTGACATTAAGAGTTCTGGCTCCAGCTTTTCCTAACTGGGGTTAGGGGTGGCAATAAGACATATTATGGGGCCCAAACCAGATTAATGGACGGCATTAGCTTGGTGTGAGGGGCAATGATATTTCAGGGGAGCCGGCCCCTGACATGAATTTTTTATTAAACATTGTAATGTAACGTAACTGAACTGAAATTTTTAGTGACGTCAGCTTTTAGTAAACCTTGTAACGTAACTGAACTGAAATTTCTAGTGACGTCAGCTTTTAGTAAATATTGTAACGTAACTGAACTGAAATTTCTAGTGACGTCAACTTTTAGTAAATCTTGTACCGTAACTGAACTGAAATTTCTAGTGTCGTCAGCTTTTGGTAAACTTTGTAACGCAACTGAATTGAAATTTCTAGTGACGTCAATTTTTAGTAAACCTTGTAATGTAACTTCACTTTTATCTCTCACGTTGGATTGTCGTATATCATGTCTCAGTAAACAGACATTTTTGTCTTTATTGGCCCTCGTAGAATGAAAGGCATATTCATCCTTCATTTATTTGTGTTTTAATGGCGTTCAAAGCGCTAAACGTTAAAATATGTTCTAGCAGAGAGTAAAGAAAGAAACAACACCATCCTACTGTTCAGTGGAATAGTAACATTTATTTTCCAAGAAGACTGAAAAACCTTATTAAAAAACGTAAGTAGGAGTTCTAAGAATGGAAGAATCTCGAAAAGAAAAATCAAAGGTAAAAAAACTGAAAAACCTTATTAAAAAACGTAAGTAAAAGTTCTAAGAATGGAAGAATCTCGAAAAGAAAAAATCAAAGGTAAAAAACTGAAAACCTTATTAAAAAACGTAAGTAAGAGTTCTAAGAATGGAAGAATCTCGAAAAGAAAAATCAAAGGTAAAAAAACTGAAAAACCTTATTAAAAAACGCAAGTAAGAGTTCTAAGAATGGAAGAATCTCGAAAAGAAAAATCAAAGGTAGTCGCTTGGAAACCTGAGAAAACGATTTCGTCAACGCTAGAGGAACAACATGAAAGAAACTGACAGTAACTGGACGAGTGAATACCTCAGTCGTTCTCTATATGTCTGTAACCCTCACTTGGCCTAACCACAGTGCGTGTTACAGAACCCTACTTCTGCGAGTTGTGAGGGACCCTGTGACAAACACGTTCTTGGGTTAAAGAATTAACTTGCTTACCATGATTAAACTCACATATAACTGTTAAAGAACTAACTGACGTACCAAAGTTATAGAACTAACGCATGTAACACCGATAAAGGACTTAATAACGAACATCTGTTAAATATCTAATAAACAAGGTTAAAGGACTAGCTCACGCAGGAACATGTCCAGGCGGTCAGGGGAAGGATCGAACCCAATATTCTAAAAATACAAAAAGGTCCATTTTCTTCTGAATTTTTTTAATAGTCTCTTAACTTTCATGCAAGTCACTAAAATTCTAAAGATCCACATTTTGTTGTTGATGTTGTTGTTTTTGGGGGACACCTAACACATACACTCTCTATAGTATTGGCTACGTCCCTGACTCATGTCCCACCTCTAGCGTACTATTTAACTAGGGTTAAACTCACTACCACTGGCGATATACTAATGTCATCTATCGGAACTAGGATATCTGAAATTGGCTAGTAGAAATGTCCCCACACGTCGACACAAGTGTAACAAAACAACAGAACCACACTGGCGGGATCACAAGATATTAATACAATGTGAACAGGTTTTGAAGGGTCTGTTTAATCCACTCACCCCATCCCTCACAGTCTTATATATTAACACTGTAACTGCGCATGCCCAAGCCGAGCGATGGATTCTGTCTTATCTGAAATGGTGAAACAAGTAGTAACGGAGGTTTAGTACGTGTTCTGTTGTTTTTAGGGTTACGTACACTTTACTTATATTGATTGACATTGGAAACACACCTATCGTGCGTAAATCGCTATATAAAGAGCAAGTTTTACAAGAATTTCATTCACGAATAATTATTAAAACACCAGCGTCCAAAGTTAACGAACGTGCTAAGATAATAAATACTGAAGTAGTTATTACAATATGAACTACAGAGATCTTCCCTGAGGCTATACAAAACAAGCTTGGAAAGAAACAACTTTAAGAACAATACATGTGAGACAGTTTCGTCAACATCAATGGCTTTGTTTTTTGTTTTGTTTTTTGATGAACGACTGTGTAGAGATAATCTCAAACACTGTATACCATAATTCATGTGTCTGTCCAATTATTTGAAACGCGAATCGATGACCCAGTTTTCTGGGTCAAGAAAGTGATATCGCGAGTGTCATGTTTTTACCGCTACACATGATACCAAGTCATTCAAATGCTACGTAACGTATTATAGATAATTGGCAAAGATTGCCACGTGGTTAATCATCCGATAAATATTTTTTTTTGTCACGGCCTGCCTGCTCTAATTATAACACTTATAACGCAACAACAATAGTGTAGGATTTATCACAATGAGTTGGAGTTTGATATTTCTCGCCTGAACGGCATTTTATCCAACCAGGTCAGAGACCCAAGGTTCGGGCATAAATATGGCTTAGAACTGTTGACCAGAAGAAGGCAGAAATCTCTAGGTTCAGGCACAGACATCTCTAGCTTAAAACTGTTGACCAGAAGAAGGACAACTGGTCTAAGCACCCGCCACCACTCTTAATCTAAAAGCGGGATTGACTGTCACAGTTATCACACTCCTATAACTGAAACTGGGGGGAGTGTTCAATGGCATACTGCGGTTCGAAACCTACACGCTGCGAATCGCAGTTCGGTCACTAACCACTAGGCCACGTGTGGCCCGAATCCCAAGATGTTAAAGGCTATATTTACTGTATTATTACCCGTATTATTTTATTAAATATCCTTAACGTGATCAAATTCAAATGAATATTATGATCCTTGCAATATGTTGTTTTCTTAATTAAAGTGAGAACACTAATACATACATTCTACAACGTCGAAATTCTATCAGTAAAATCCCCGTTCAAGGTAACCGTATGTGAAATGTGGACTAAAGTTAGAGGAAAATAGAAAAACTTGAATGTGGGGGAAAACGATTATCATGACAAACACACGTGCCACACACGAGCTGAACAGATGCGTCTCTGAAACGAAGACGTCCGTACCCGAGAGCGTATATATAATACACATGAACTTTAATGAGTTATCTATTCCAAGATGTGAGAGCACTTTGGATAAGAACACTTACTGATAGTTGACGTCACATCAAAATTGGCTAAAACTGTAATAAACGAAGACGGAAAAAAAGAAGAGGGCCACATTTTTACAGAGACCACGTATATACAAAAATACCATTTTTTTCTGTTATTAAACAGTCTTTCTTTTTTCATAGTAAAGCGGTACTATGTTAGAAGCAGACAACGTTTACACAGTGCTTTTTATACAACGTTTACACAGTGCTTTTTATACAACGTTTACACAGTGCTTTCTTATTTATTTTTCTCCAGCCTGAGAAGCCACGATCAGTATAAATCTATATATTTTCCGGAACACTAA